ACCCATTTAATCCACAAAGTAATTCACAGACTGAGAGTAACAGAAGGGAAAACAGTTCTCCATGTGACAGGAACCTGAAAAAAGTGAGGGTAGCTATCTTATTTGAAGACAGAGTAGATTTCAAAGCAAAACTAATTAAGTAAGACAAAGAAGGCCACTCCATCCTTATAAAAGGACAAGAGGAAGAAATGACAATCATAAATATATATGCACAAAATACTAATGCCACTAACTATACAGAACAAATAAGTGACATGAAACACCAATTAATCACTAATACAATTGTAGTGGGGACCTCAATACTCCACTGACACAAATAGATCATCTAGACAAAAAAATCAACAATGAAATAACTGAACCAAATCTTAGAACAGACGGACTTAGTAGATATCTACAGAGTGTTCCACTCCACAAAATCAGAATATACAGTCTTTTTGGCTGCACACAGGTCATTCTCCAAAAAGGACCAAATACTAGGTCATAGAACATGTTTAAGTAAAATGCAAAGGGATTGAAGTTATCTCCTGTGTATTATCAGGCCATAGTGCAATTAAAGTGGAAATCAATATCAAAAAAATCACAAGAACTTCACAAACACATGGAAATTAAATAACACCCTGCTGAACAACCTTTGGGCCACAGAAGAAATTAAAGAAGAAATTAGATAGTTTCTACAATTAAATGATAATGACAGTACAACATACAGGAATCTATGGGACACAGTGAAGCAGTTCTATAAGGGAAATTCATAGCAGTAAATGCCCACACTAGGAAAACAGAACAAGTTCAAATAAACAACTTAATGCTTAACTTTAAACTCTTAGAAAAAGAAGAATAAGACAAACCAAAAGCTCATTCAAGGGATGAAATTATAAACATTAGAGCAGAAAATAATGCAATGGAGACTAAGAGAATGATACAAAAAAAATCAATGAATCAAAATGTTGATTTTTCAAGAGAATAAACAAAATCAATAAATCTTTAGCCAACCTTACCAAAAAAAGGAAAGAAAAGTCTCAAATTCGTGCAATTAGGAATGAAAAAGGGAAGTCATAACAGATTCACCAGAAATACAGAGGATCATCAATACTACTTTGAAAACCAGTACTCAAATAAAATGGAAAATACAGAAGAAATGGACAGATTCTTGGATACATATGAACTTCCAAAGTTGAATGAAGAAGATATAAAAAATCTAAACACCCTTATTACATTCTGTGAAACTGAAAATGTAATTAAAAATTTACCAACAAAGAAAAGCTCAGGTCCTGATGGCTTCACTGCTGAATTGTACAAGACATGTTGAGTAAAATTATTGCCACTACTCTTTAAACTCTTCAATGAGATTGAAAGGGAAGCAATACTTCTACATTCAGTCCTGAAGCAAGTATTACTTTGATTCCAAAACCAGGGAAAGACACAACCAAAAAAGAGAATTACAGACCACTCTTCCTAAGGAACATAGATGCAAAAATTCTGAATAAGATACTAGCAAACAGAATAAAGAAGATCATCAAGAAGATCATACATGTTAACCAATTCAGATTTATCCCAGGAATGCAAGGATGGTTCATCATACATAAATCAATAAATGTGGTACACTATATTAACAGAGTCAAGGACAAAAGCCATGTGATCATCTCAATAGATGCAGAAAAAGCATTCAACAAAATTCAACACCCACTCATGATAAAAACTTCAGAAAATTGGAATAGATGGTCTTTATATCAACCTGATAAAGAAAAACTAACAGCCAATATCATACTAAATGGTCAAAAACTGAAACCCTTCACACTAAAATCAGGAATAATACAAAGATGTCAAGTATCCCCACTCCTGTTCCATATAGTTCTAGAAACATTAACCACAGCAATTAGACAAGAGGAGAAATAAAATGAAGAAAGATAGGAAGAAATTAAACTCACTATTTGCTGATGATATAATACTCTACATAGAAGACCCCCAAAAACTGCCAAAAGACTTCTAGATGAAATCAACAGATTCAGTAGCATAGCTGGATACAAGGTTAACACTCAAAAATCAATAGCCTTCTTGTACACAAATAACAGACTCACTGAGAGAGAAATTAAGGAAACAGTTCCTTTCACAATAATATCCAAAAAATGAAATATGTAGCAATTAATCTAACAAAGGTGACAAAGGTCCTCTACAATGTAAACTACAGCACTCTGAGAAAAGATATAGAAGAGGATATAAGAAAATGGAAAGACATCCATTGCTCCTGGGTAGGAAGAATCAACATAGTGAAAATGGCCATATGTCAAAACTGCTACAGAGATTGAATGCAATGCCTATTAAAATCCCACAGTATATTTCAAAGAACTTAAGAAAACAATCCAAAAATTCATTTGGAATCAGAAGAAATTTAGAATAGTAAAAGCCATTCTAGGCAACAAAGACATGGCAGGGGGTATCCTAATTGCCAACTTGAAACTACACTACAAAGCCACTGTAATAAAAAGAGTATGGTAATGGCAAAGACCCAAGGATCAAAAGAATAGGTTAGAAGATGCAAAAAAAACTCCAAACATACTGAGCTACCTCATCTTTGACAAAGAAGCCAACCATCCTCCCTGGGGGAAGATAGCCTCATTAATAAATCTGCCTTTCAACTTGCCAAAGATTAAAACTAGATTCTTATCTTTTGCCACACACTAAATTAAAATCCAAGTGGACTAAAGATCTAAATATTAAATAAGAAACACTAAACTTACTGGAAAATAAATTAGGTAGAATGCCTCTTGAAGGCCTTGGCATAGGAAAAGACTTTATGAGCAAATCCTCAGTAGAATGGGAACTAACACAAAGAATCAACAACTGAGATCTCATTGTATTAAAAAGTTTTTGTAGTGCATGAGAAACCACCAACAGAGCTAAGAGATAACCTAAAATGTGGGAACAAATTTTTACCAGCTACTCCACAGACAAAGGACTACTATGTAGAATATATAAATAACTAAAAAAAATCAGACACCCCAAATTAAAAAACCCAATTTAAAATGGGCACCCAAAATGAACAGGCATTTCTCATACAAAGAAGTAAAAGCAGCAAATAAAGACATGAAAAATCTTTCCACATCACTGGTCATTCAAGAGATGCAGATGAAAAGAATACTGAGATTCCACCTCACTCCAGAAAAATTGGCTGCTATCAAGAAATCAACCAATAACAAATGTTGGCTGGGCTGTGAGGAGAAAGGAACCCTTCTCCATTGTTGTTGGAATGCAGACTGATGCAACCACTGTGGAAATCAATATGGAGATACCTCAAAGAATTAGGATTAGAGTTCCTATTTGACTGAGCTATGCCTCTGCTGGGTATCTTTCCAAAAGAATTAAAAGAATCATACCACAGTGATATATGCACACCCATATTTATAGCGGCACAGTTTGTAATAACTAAAAGTTAGAACAGCCCATTTGCCCATCAGTTGGAGACTGGATAAAGAAGATGTGGTTTCCTATAAAGTAGTACTACTCAGCCATAAAAAATGAGAAACTAGAGACATTTATAGCTGAATGGATGCACATTGGGGCTATACTCAAGTGAAATAAATAGGACACGAGGAAATACAGAATAGTTTCTCTGGTGTGAAAAATGAAGTGTAAATAATGTTCAAATGGTATAATTGATAGTGTGAAATAGGAAGAAAATGGCTAAAGGGGAAGTGGGAAGGGAGGGGAAAGGAAATAAGGGAAAAGAAAAAAATGAGAAAAAAGGAAAAAAATGGAAACAAAGTCTTTGTAAATAGGAAAGGGTGAAGGAGGTGAAGTGAGCACAAGGGTATGGGGAAAAGATAATAAGCAAGATAAATTTTGTAAAGATACAAGATTCCAGTGAAAAATATAACTGCATTGTTTGTTTCAAATGTACCAATAAACAAATGGGGAAAAAAGCCTGAAATTTCACGTTGTATATTGTATTTCACTGTTTTGTATATTGTATTCTAAGACAGCTAATTTTTTGTCATGTGCTATTTTGTACATACTCTGTCAATACTGGAGTGAGAGAGACCTCTTGCTAATATCACAGAAGTTCCAGGTCTCCCTAAGCTCAGTATTTCTGCTGACCCAAGGACCATGTGTCCTGTCAACTCTGAGTCATTGTCCCCTTGGGGTAAGGTCCAGTGGCCGCAAGCCCTGTCTCTGTCAATCACAGTGCCAAGAGGCTACAGATGCCTTCCACATGGAGATTAAGTGGTCATAAATAAAACTTTTTTTACTCCCGGTAAAGGTGGGATATATGAACCCAGACTTTTAGGAGTTTTATAATTGATCTAGTTTCAGATTTATGACTTAGAAATGAGACTAAAAAATTCATTTTGGCAATTGGATGTTCATCGGAAACAAGAGAACTTTATGTGGGCTCTTGCTCAAGACTCTTCAGTGGCCCCTAAGGCCTTCTGAGCTGAATGAACAGCTCTTAGTCTGACTCTGTTATGAAGCAGTGGAGCTGGAAGGAGTCACTATAAATTTCAGGCCCCTGTGGTTCTGTGACTTTTCATATGCTCAGCTCAGCAAAATATGGGGCCAAATGTGTGTGTGCAGCAGAGGCCCACAGTGATGCAGAAAAGTAGAGTGAAAAGATAAGGGCCTTTGGAGTTGTCCAGGTTGGCATTGGAACCTCAACCTAGCCACTTGTAGTTGTGGGACTCGAGCTGTTTATTCCTAACTTTTCTAAGTCTCTACTTCTTTATAATCAGAATGATAAAATTTTATCTTACAGTTAATATATTGTTCCCTATAGCATACATTAAATATTTGATATATAGAGATACTTAAATGTCAAGAACCTATTTTTATACTGAAAATTTCTAATTGGCTACAGTTCATCATAGTTTCATTTTTCTTTTCTTTTTTTTTTTTTTTTTTT